TTGATTTGGAGTGGAGAAATCTTGAATTTGCAACAACTATCACAAGATAATGCAAATGGAAGCACAATCTATGTTAGGCTTGCAGCTTCTGAATTTTCTAGTAACAAAGGTAATGATTTACAATTTTCTCCTAAGTTTATAATTTTTGGAAAATACTACAAATTATTATATTAACCATCTGGTGTAACAACAACAACAATAACATACCCAGTATTATCCCACACTGTGGGGTCTGGGGAGAGTAGTGTGTACGCAGACCTTATCCCTACCTTGTGAGGATAGAGAGGTTGTTTCCAATAGACCCTCGGCTCAAGAAAGTATAAGCACTACATTAATGAATTAACCCTCTGGTGTCCAGAATCTAATAGTCCAACTAATTCAGATTGTGCCACATAAGGCCATTAAGGGAAAACATTCTCTACTAGGGATTTCTCCATTCTTGGAGCTCGAATGCGTGATATCCAGTGTAGGGGGATCTCATTCATCTTACCACATCCTTTAGTGGCTTAGTGGTCGTTTTTAAATTACATAATTTTTTTGAATCTACTAGGGATTTCTCTAGATTTCTCCATCTTATGTTCGGAACTCAATAGGTTCTGCCGCATAAGGCCATTAAGTGAAAGCGTTCTCTACCAGGGATTTCTTAATCCCGAGACCTTCAGTGTGGAGGGATCTCATCCATCTTACCCCATCCTTTGGTGATAGACTAGACGTCTTTAATTTATACATTTCTTTTGAATCCAATTGGAATTTTTATTAATACATTTTTTTCTCCTCTGTTTTTTGTTTATTTATGAACTTATTAATTGTTTTCATTCTTTTTCCTAAGTAAATGTCTTCTTAATTTGTTCTCTTGATTAGCAGATGAACATAAGCAAACATCAAAAAAGCTGAAAATTGTCATTCCTATTGGTGTAATTGCTGCACTTCTCTCTCTTTCATGCTTTTCCTACATATATTATAGAAAAAGAAGAAGCACAAAAATCAAAGGTAACAACAAATGTGTCTATTTTTTCATGGATCACAATTTTTCTCTTATTTTTCTCATTTTTTCATCAATAAAAATACTTTTTTTTTTGTCTTTGTTTAAATATACAGAGAGTACTACAAAATCTCTCATGCAAAATACTGAAGGAGAAGCAGAGCTAATTGATATTCAAGATGATGATAAAGGCAATATTGAAGTTCCATTCTTTAGTATTGAAAGCATATTAATGGCAACAGATGACTTCTCAGAACAAAATAAGCTTGGACAAGGGGGATTTGGTCCTGTTTACAAGGTTTTTACTATATCACTTTTTGTTAAAAAATTTATAACCGAGAAATTCCCGAGAGCCAGTTGTCCAGGGTTGGTAGATAATGAGCCAGTTCCTCTAGCTTATTTCACTTAAATACAACACATTTATTTGTGACGGATCAAACTCCTGACGTGCGCCTAACCAACACGATCAGTTCTTTTTTAAAAAATTGGGGGTATTATCATTTTTAGCCCGTGCCAAAAACTATTTACATTCGGTAGCCAAAAAAGGGTATAACATTTGTATAATTTTTGTATATAACATACAGAATATATATATATATATATATATATATATATATATACAATTTTCGGCTATTGTTGTGAGGGCGGCTAAAAAGTGTCATTTTTCCAAAAAATTGTGTCATGTTATTATCAAGTGGATGATTATTTCTTGATTGTAATATGACTCTTGGAAATTTTTGTTTAGGGTATATTTTCAGGAGGAAGAGAAATTGCAGTGAAAAGGCTATCAAGTCATTCTGGACAAGGCATAAATGAATTCAAGAATGAAGTAATGTTGATTGCAAGGCTTCAACATAGAAATCTTGTTAGACTTTTGGGTTATTGCATCCAATCAAATGAAAAGATTTTACTCTATGAGTATATGGCAAACAAAAGTTTAGACACCTTCATATTTGGTTAGTATCTTTTGTTTACGAGTTTAATCGTATATATCTTATTTTTTACGAACTATTGACCTGATAGTGTAAAATTTCTTTACTTATTTATTTGCGTGACGGCTCCACAAGATCGAAAACTATGCATGAAATTGGATTGGAGGAAGAGATTTGAAATTATAGAGGGAATTGCTAGAGGACTTCTTTATTTACACTATGACTCAAGGTTAAGGATCATTCATAGAGATCTCAAAACAAGTAATATATTATTAGATGAAGAATTGAACCCAAAAATATCAGATTTTGGCTTAGCAAGAGTTGTTGAAGGGAAAATTACACAAGCAAACACAAATAAAGTGGTTGGAACCTAGTAAGTCCTTCCTATTTTCCTCATATATATTATTTGAAATTTAAATTGGAAAATTTAGTGTCTACGTTGCTCAGACTCTTCAAAAATATCGCCGTTTTCATGTCATCCTTCAAATATGCATTATTTTTGGAGGATCCGACACACATCCCACGTCATTTTTAAAGAGTCCGAGTAACATAGGCTAGTATTGATTTCCTCGTCCATTAATATGTTTGTTAAATACTATTTATGCAGTGGCTATATGGCTCCAGAATATGCAATAGATGGATTATTCTCAATTAAGTCAGATGTATTTAGTTTTGGAATAGTTATACTGGAGATCATCAGTGGAAGAAGAAATACTGGATTTTTTCACCAAGAAGAAGCATCAAACCTCTTAGGCCATGTGAGTAAAGAACCACTTAAATTCTATACTATATTATTGCATCGTATTACTATATATTATTGCATCATATTACAACAATAACAACTAGGGATACTGAAACTTGTAACTTTTAAGTCTAATACATAATATTCCAAAGAAACAAAAGGGGTCAGATTTCAAAAACAAAATATCATTTACATCATTTTACCTTAAAGAATGAGAGCCTTGGGGTAACCGGTAAAGTTACTGCCATGTGACTAAAAGGTCATAGGTTCGACCCGTGGAAACAACCACTTGTAGAAATACAGGTAAGACGGCGTACAATAGACCCTTATCGTCTGGTTCTTCCCCGAACCCCGCGAATAGCAGGAGCTTAGTGCACCGAGTTGCCCTTTCTATCATTTTCCCTTAAACTTTTTTCTTGCTATACCATCATCAACCTGGTTTCCTCCCTTAAGTGCATCCTTGATACCATATGTTGTATGTTGCTCGGTCTCTTAAAAATGTCTTCAGGTGCAAGCCAAAAATATATATTTTTAGAGTATATGTCCTGAGTGCGACAACATTTTTGGAGAGCCTGTACAACATAGATTAGACTCCCAATTAAAGTCATGAGGAACCTGCAATTAAAAATTCTGGATATTAAATACTTGAAAACCTTACTTCTTCTTCTCATATTAAAATTTTGGTTAACATATGTTACTATTTTAGGCATGGAGATTATGGAAAGAAGATAAGGCAATGGACTTAGTGGATCAATCACTACAAGAATCATGCAATAAAGAAGAAGCAATTAAATGCCTTAATGTTGGGCTTTTGTGTGTACAAGAAGATCCAAAAGATCGACCCAACACAACAAATATAATAATGATGCTTGGTAGTGAAAATATTATTTCTCTTCCAAGGCCAAATCAACCAGCTTTTATGACAAGAAAATGTGCTAATAACACATCTTCTTCTTCTGCTGCTAAATCAGATGTTGTTTCCAATAATGAGCTGACTGTCACCATTGAAACAGGTCGATAAAAAGTTATGTTGCTCGGACTAGTTAAAAATATCGTTGAGTGCATGTCGGTTCCTTCAAAAGCAGTAATTTTGAAGGATGCGACACGAGTACGACAGCAATTTTGGAGACTCAATGCAACATAGATAACAAGAGTGAGATGCTATCAATTTTGTAAACATTTTCATTAATTTATGTATCTTTACATAGGCTGCAAATATAGTATAGATAACACTACATAGACATGGTATGAGTAGCTGCATTGTTAGTGCTAATGGGACTAAGTTACTAGAAAAATCCCTAATTGTAACATGATGTGTGTGTACATATAAACTTAAAGAGCTCCTTGTTTGTTTGGATTTCTCGCTCGCCGTCCAGTATCCTGTTAGGTCCCGACTAAATTTGAATTTGCGTCAGGAGTCCTACATTAGGGGTAACTAAAGCGCTCCCTAATAAAGACGACTTCATATTCAGGGCTCATATTCGAGGGCTCATATTCGAGACCTGTGATTAAAAAGGAAGGAATACCCTTATTGGTAACATTTGAGTGTCACGACTAATCAATATTATAATTATGAAAGGGGCCTATATGGACATAAATTAGTATTAATCAAAGTTGAAGCATAGACATTTATTCCTATAATAAAAATAATGCAAGAAAATGGGCTAGTGAAAGCTAGCACTAGTAAATGCTGCATTTTTGGACTAAAAACTATAAAAAATAATCATGTTCAAGAATCTAAGGGGAGATGCAACATTTAATGGAAACAATAAATATAGAATGCAAGATCTGGTGGCAACTATATTAAGTTTCAAAAGATTATAATTTTTTTTTTAAAAATCAGAAATTTCATTTGGTTATTGATTGATTATTTGTGGCCAAGCAAATTCCCTCTAACTTGTCCCGTTATCTAGGTTGATATACTTGGGCGTCCATAATGACGGAGCCAGAATTTAAAAGTTATAGGTTTCGAACTTGTCATCGAAACTCATTGCTAGTCTTAATTATTGAGTTCGTAATTAAATATTTATATACTCTATAATTTATAAACTTGTTAATACAAAAACAGGATATAAACAAAAGATATGCGATTCGCCCCAACACGTAGCTAATATACTAGCTCCGCTCTGCGTCCATCGTATGATTAGTAGAGAGACAAGTCAAGTCCTGGCTTCGCCTCTGCTCTTAAGTACAATTGTATACAACTACTCTTCTCAAAGTCTTCTTCCACAAAACTTTTGGTATAAATATAGGCATATTATAGAACCAAGTCAGCCATATATATATATATATATATATATATATATATATATATATATATATATATCCTCTCCTTCTTCAGCCACCCACCCACACGCTCTTATATCTTCTTCTGAGAAAATAGAAAAGGGAATAATTTATAAGAGGTAAGAAACAAAAAAATGGGGTTTATGTATCATATATCATAAATATGTGAAGTTTCAAGTAAAAGAAAGAGCAAAAACACAAAACCATGCAGGTACGCTTGTTTACTCCTCATTTTATGATTTATTTTTATAGTATTATTTTTCTTACATCGGTATAATGTTGGTTTGATATGAACTTAAATAGAGAAACATAATCAGTAAGATTCATATATATAGTCGAACTAATTAACTTATAGTCGAGCTTAACTTGTTTGATACTGACGCGTAATAATAATAGTTGTTGTTTTTGTATCTATGATCGGATGATAGTAATATTTATATCTTTATTTTATCTCATTTTGCATAACAATTTTCAGACAGTTGAAATAAAGGTAAAAATGGACTGCCATGGCTGTGAAAGGAAAGTCAGAAATGCTGTTTCCTCCATGAAAGGTTAATTGCCTTGTTCTCTATAAGTTATTAATCTTAATTTTTTTATAAAGAATTATCTGTAATAATCTTTAAGGTAACTTGATAATGTAAAAATACTTTCATATATTAGCGTATGGTAAACTATTAAAAGATTTATTTGATTCACGATTAAATTAATTAGTTCAGCCTTTTATGTATCGCCTCTTTTCGTATTCTGTTAGCTTGAAGTTCACACTTTGTTTCTTATAATCACTTGAAGACGTGTGGGTAAAGCAGTCTTAATTAGTCTAATCACAGTTGCCATATTGGTTCTTCTCTGCTACTATGTTTCTCGGAGGAAGAAGGTGGATAAAGATGTGTGCAGCAGGGTTATTTTACAGTGCTGTATAACACTAAAATGTAACAAAATGTTTTAAACTCGCGATGGAGTCATGGTAATTGCTACTTTTAAAATGTAAAAGTATAAAGGTATAATATATACATAATAATTATATATTATACAACTTATCTATAATTTATCTACAACTTTCATACATTATTTTTACCCAGTTATATACAACTACAATATCATACCACGTAAATATAATTTTTATACAATATGTCTTTTGTATATTTTGTATCTGATTTATACATAGTAAAAATAAATTTTATATAACTAATTATATATTATACAACTTATCTACAATGTTCGTACATTATTTCTACCCAGTTATATACAACTACAATATCATACCAGGTAAATACAATTTTTATATAAATATTGTTCAATTTTCATACAATATTTAAAAAAAAAATTATATATATAAACAACAGAATACAATTTTTCTACAATACTACTACAACCGTACTACAATTTCGTAAGTATAATGTATGTCATGTCTTCTTCTTCTTATTCTTCGAGTTTCAATCTGAAATTCAGCCAAAATCAAGTCTAATCTTCACCAAAACCCCTCAAAATTGAGATATAAACTCCAAACCATAATCTCAATGGTTTGAAACAACACACAATCCACATAAATAATGATTTTTCAAAATCCAAATTCGAATTCAAAGCTTCAAAGCTTTTAATGGTTGTCAATGGTGAAATTGCTGCTCTCTTTTCCTTTGCTTTACATTACTGAAATTAGGGATTGAGAGATAGAGAGAGACGTAGAGAGAATCCCAATTCTTGGCAACAACACCCAATTCAAACGAATAATATTTTTTGAAATTCCAAATTCGAGTTCAAAGTTTCAAAGCTTTTTAATGGTTGTCAATGGTGGAATTGCTGCTCTCTTGTGCAAGATACGTGGGGGAGGGGGTGGGATATGGAGAGAGAAACGTGGGGGAGTGGGAATATACGGTAGAGTTATTTTAGGACACTAATTAATATCATTAATTCCCTTAAAATGTACATAAATGGTAATTGGGTATATAAAATGTAATTTGTCACGACCCGGATTTCCCCAACCTCGGGGGTCGTGATGGTGCCTACTCGTAGAATCTAGGCAAGCCACAAATCATAAACTCCTACCTACTTTATTTTAAATCCTTTTATCACTCATAACAACAAGCGTTAAATATTTAAATGACAGCGGAATATGAAATTAAAGCGGAAGACTTAATTAAATAAGCTGAAAAATAATGCGAAATTCAACATGTGCCTCTACCCAAGAACTGGTGTCACATCATCCACGGACTACTAAGAGTACTAAATACAATCGTTTGAAAGAAATATAACACTGTTTGTCTCGAAAACATGAAATAACAGAATAAAATATAAGATAGAGGAGACATCGGGCCTGCGGACGCGTGCAAGGCTACCTCGGAGTCTCGATCGACTCAAGGCTGGCTCCTGAGCTACTACTGTTGTCCGGGACCTGGATCAGTGCAAAAGAGCACAGGGTGCAGTATCAGCACAACCGACCCCATGTGCTGGTAAGTGCCTAGCCTAACCTCGGCGAAGTAGTGACGAGGCTAGGACCAGACTACCAAATAAACTTGTGCAGTTATATAATGTACAGCGGAAAGTAGAGCAGGTATACGCAAGTAAGGATGGGAGGGGGAAACATGCATCGAGGAATAACAGGTAAAACAGAATATCAAGAGAACCATAAAGGAACCAAAATCCAACCACTAGCAAGAATAAGGAAAACAAAGGCAGATTTCACTTTCTTTTCGCATCTTGTTGCAGGCGTGCAACCCGATCCCATTTCATTATATCTCGTGGTAGGCATATCACCCGCTCCCATTTTATTAAATCTCGTGGTAGGCGTACCACCCGCTCCCATTTCATTAAATCTCGTGGTAGGCGTACCACCCGCTCCCATTTCATTAAATCAACCTTCTTCCAAATGAAACTTAATCCAACAAACGCAACAAATAATACGAATTCATAAGACAACAAGTACACAATAATTATGACTCACTGAGGAAAACAAGTAATGACAAGTAGCAATTAGTTATGTACCTTAAGGAGCAAATAGGCAATTTAATATTTAGTATGCTAAATGTCAAGTAGCAATTAAGTCACATAAACATGTAGCAATTATGGCATAAATTCAAGGCATAATGTTGCGCGAGGATACCTCGAGCCAATAATAACAAGTAACGCAATAAAGGAAAATGCCAACATAAAGAATCACAGTAATAGTGGAATAAGACAATTAATGCAGTGGAACCGATAACAACAAGAAAATCAGTAAATAAAAGTAAAGGACAACATAACTCAATTATCAGCAAGAATCAGGAAAATCAAAGACAAGTGCACGGCATCACCCTTCGTGCTTTTACTCTCGTCCTCACTAAGCAATAATATAATGAAAACGTGCACGGCATCACCCTTCGTGCTTGTACTCTCTTTCCTCACCAAAGCAATTAGAATAATAAAATGTGCACGGCATCACCCTTAGTGCTTTTACTCTCTTTCCTCACATATAATCAATAGAATTGGCACGACATCACCCTTCGTGCTTTACACTCTTTCCTCACAATTGCAAACAATGCACGGAATCACCCTTCGTGCTTTAACACTCTTCCTCACCCAAACAACAATCACAAGCAAGGGCAAGGGAGATAAACAAGAACATGTAAGAATCCCGGCAAGGGAACAACGATTTAACAATTAAATCCCGGCAAGGGAGCAACAAGTAAATAATCAAATCCCGGCAAGGGAACAACAATTTTAAATAATTCAATCCCGGCAAGGGAACATTTCAATAACTCTTTCTCTATCTTTCACTTGTACTTCATAACTCACTTTACCACTTGAGCCAATGCTCCAAAGGGTTCAATCATCTCACATACTTTCACAATTCATAATATAACTCGAGCCGATGCTCCAAAATATTCAAAGGTCTCAATTCCTTCCACAAACTTTTCACAACAACTAGGAATCATCACCAAAGCATGAAGAATACAACGAAATCATGAAAATCACAATATAAGACTCACGGTCATACTTGACACCAACGCATAGATACTCGTCACCATGCCTATACGTCGTACTCAACAATTATCACATAGAAAATAGGACTCAACTCCTAATCCCTCAAGCTAAGGTTAGACCAAACACTTACCTCAATGCCTTGAATACAACTCAAGCCTCAATTATAGCTTTACCCCGTGATTCCACCCCCAATTCGCTCGTATCTAATCACAATTTACTTAATTACATTAATAAACACTAAATGAACCAACCCCAATGCATGAAAATGAGTTTTCCCAAGTTTTACCCAAAAAGTCAAAGATCGCCCCCGGGCCCACGTGGTCAAAACTCGAGGTTCGAACCAAAACCCGATTACCCATTCCCGCACGAACTCAAATATGTAATTTATTTTGAAATCGGACCTCAAATTGAGGTCCAAATCCCCAATTTTTGAAAAACCTAGGTTCTACCCAAAACACCCAATTTCCCCCATGAAAATTATTGATTTGAAGTTGAAATCATGTTTAAAGATGTTAAGAATTGAAAGAAGTTAGTTAAAATTGACTTACAATTGATTTGGAGAAGAAGAAAACCTTGAAAAATCGCCTAAATGTGTTTGGGTTTGAGAAAATATAAAAAATGAAGTGCAAAATCGGTTAAGTGTAAAAAATGCAGGTCTCGGTTATGGGAAATGCGAACCCCGACCCTCAGATATGGGAATTGCGGAGAAACAGTTCGCATTTGCAAACCCTTCGAAAATTATGGACCTTCGCATTTGCGACATCAGCATCGCATTTGCGAGAGTCGCATTTGCGAGGTCTGGCCAATAGGAGAGTGTTCGCATTTGCGAAGAATTGTCTCGCATTTGCGAGGAAAGAGCAGACCTGGGCTAACTTCGCCATTGCGAAAGGTCATTCGCATTTGCGATATTGCATTTGCGAACCAGGCTTCGCAAATGCGAAGCCTGCAGGTCAGAAATACCAGCAATTTTTCAAAGTTCAAAAATTGCACCCGTGGCCTATCCAAAACTCACCCGAGCCCTCGGGGCTCCAAACCAAATATACACGCAATCTCAAAAATATCCTACGGACTTATTCGTGCGATCAAATCGCCAAAATAACATCATAAACATCGAATTACACCTCAAGATTCATGAATTCTTTCAAACTTCATAAAACATCAAATTTTCCAATTTAGGTCCGAATCACGCCAAATGACATCCATTTTTCATCAAATTTCACAGAAATATCTTAAATCATATATAAGACCTGTACCGGACACCGAAACCAAAATACGGGCCCGATACTAACATGTTCTAATCAAATTTCATTTCAAATTTCCTTAAACAATTTCAGAAAATAATTTCTTTCAAAAATTCATTTCTCGGGCTTGGGACCTCGGAATTCGATTCCGAGTGGGAGGGGTGGCTTATAGACTTGCATTTCCGCGTAGGCTTATCAGCCGTGCATCCAGTGTTTCATGTGTCCATGCTTCGGAGATATCACGGCGATCCATCCCACGTGTTAGATTTCAGCACTGTCCAGTTGGACAAGGGACTTGTCTTTATGAGGAGGAGCCGGTAGCTATTCTAGACCGGCAGGTTTCGTCAGTTGAC